TTTTCTTTACCATGCAAGCTTTAATTATAAAAAAAATTAACAAAAATACCTTTTTTTTAAAATTAAGTACACCTTTAAACCTAGTGAACACTCTTAAATCACTTCTTTTGGATTTACGAGAATCTCTCGGATGAGGTAACCTATGGTTGAAAATGAGAATTCTCCATTCTAAGTGAGCCCAACGTCTCTTTCGGACTAAGTAAATTTAAAAAAAAATAGTGATGCTGGAATGAGGGAACCATGGGATTCTAACCAGTGTCACTCTAATTAAATTTAAATTCCCCTAAATAGGACATTTGAATGACAACAACAAAACCAAACTTTGAAACAAAACTGTGAAACATAAAACCTTAAACCAGAACCTTTTAAACCTTGAAACTGCTAATTCAACAAGGAGCTCGGAGCAAGCCCCGTGAGCAGCACAACAAGGGCATACAGAAGAACATCTTTGAGAGAGTATACAAGGTCTTCATCAACAAAACTGTTTTTTAGAATTAAACAACAAGACATAAGAATCTGAGGCAGTCCGCCTAGTGTGACATAAATCCTCAATCTATCTTTATGCTTTTGCACTATTATTTCATGCACTATAAGACCTAACTCTCTTAAGGTTTTGAGGTTGTCATTTTTATACGACATAAACCCTCCCATTTCTCTAGGCAATTTGCATGATCAATATCATGTAAATGTAAGCCCTACATAAAAAAATTGGCATGATGAAACATCTGATAATATCTCTTCAAAATCAAAGCCAAACAATAGGATAGTTTGAGAAGTCACTGAGGTTCTCCTCATGATTTATGACATCCCCTACCATTCTTCCTTTGGATATTGAAAATAACTGTTCTCATGTTGAACCATACCCATTTGACTTTTCAATGTCCAACCTTCAAAACTCTAAACATTAAATTAATGAAGACAAATATCTCTGATCTAAACCGAGAGTTTTCTTAAGTAACTTTGATTTACTAAGATGTAATTAACTATAAAGGCTTGCCCTTACATGAAACAAAAGAACCATATAAATCTTACCTAATCATTATATTAGATGGGAGAACTTGTCGGCCAACATAAAATGTTTTGCATACCAAAATAGATGTCTTAAATTCTTAAGTTTACTTAATCGAGTCTCGCTATTAAGTAATGTGTCTACCCATCGGGATAAGCATATTGCTTGTGGTGTGGTGCTCAGTTATTTAAATTATTAAATATATGAGATTGGTTAGCTCTCATATTTTCTAAAATTAAAACACTCTTTTTAAAATTGTATATACATATTAAATTAAATTATATAATCAAAGCAACCGAGAATCCCCATTTGGCGACTGACAGGGTTTCAAACAGCTCCATTATATTGCTGAAATCAATTACTTCAAACTTTGGTTGAATTTGAGAAAAGGTGATTCTCTATGGGCCTCATTCATGATTGGAAAATATTGTAATGATTGCAATCCTTCTCTGGGTAACTAGAAAAATGTGAGCTGTAGGATGTGAACAATGCTTCTTCAGGTGAGAGAGTGGGCTCAAAAGCACATTTTTGAGATCTTGGGGAAGGTAAAAATTCATTTTGGAAAGATTGCTGGTATAGGGAAGAACTGAGTATTATGGAGATGGATGATTTAAAGACATTTTGGTCTCTGAGGTGTTTATAAATGGAAATTGGAATTTGAATCTTCTTAAAGAATTGGTTGGGGTTGAAAATGCACATTACATTTCCACTATCCCTTTCGATAACACTAAAAAAGACATCCCTATGCTTAAAATGCTTATTAAAGGCTCCATAACCAATACTCTTTAGCCAAAGTTACATTTTTTTCAAACTATTGATTGAGGTGATAATATATATAGTTGGGCTTTGTCCACCTCCATGTCCATCTTTGCTTGAAGTTTACACCATTCTATGATACCTTGTGATGACGTCCTGAAATTGAAAGGTTTGAGACTTGTGTCTCAATTTTCTTTATGTAAAATGGAGGAGGAGTCCATCTCTCATCTTTCTTCTCTTGTTCTATCTCATTTACTGTGTGGAAGGAGGGGGGGAATTATTAATACTGCTCTCTCTTTAAAAAAGGGGGACATTCTTAATGCAAATGAAATTTCTAGAATCTTGATTAAAAAAAATATTTTTTTGCAAGTTTATCCTTACATTGTATGCTGGTTCATCTGGATGGCTCGAAATGATAATAAACTTTTGGAGATATGTGAGAACAGTTCCATGATTCTGGCTAATGCTTTGGCATATATTAATAGGTTGGCTGAGTTGGGGAAGCACAATTCCTCTTTTTTGTCTAGAATAACTCATTTTCTTAGCAACATTCATGAGGGTCTGGGGTTTGGGAGGAGGGCACAACAATTACCCAGGCAGGTGAGATGGTTGTCCCCTCCTCCTCCTGGATTAAATCTAACACATATGGTAGTTGGAGTAAATATGGTGCTGGTATTGGTGGAATTCTTAGAAATGATAAGGGGAAATGTTTATTTTATTTTTGCTCTCCTTTTTTCGTTGATAATCCCTTGGAAACTGAAGCAAGGGCTATTTATATAACTGTTCAGATAGCTAATACTTTTAATTTGCAATTTTTGGAAGTGGAGCTTGACTCCATGGTTTTGGTGGAAATATTAGAGGGCATAAGAGAGGCTCATTGGGATATTGTGCATTACTTTAAAACAAAAATCAACATTAAATTAAAGATTAATATAGTTTGGAGATTCATTCATAGAGAGGGTACAAGTCCAACCCACTAGTTGGCCAAGAGAGGTGCCTCTACTGATGAAGTTTTTGTGGGATGGAGATTGCTATAACAGCTTAAAAAAATTGTTGTTGGGGATCCACATGAGGTTCCCAATCTAAAATGATAAATTTCATATATGATGATTTGTTTTTTTGGTTGTTTGTGCTAGGTTTGAGCTTTTTGCTATACAAATTTTTCATGTTCTCCTTGGGAACACTTACTGGTGTTTATACCATGGGAAGGGGTCTTATTGTTTGGAAATTAATTTCTCGTTTATTCTTTGAGCTATGTGACCCATGGGAGCTATTGGATTACTTTAGATACCATATATCTGTTTCCTCCTTATATAATAACAATATGTTAACATACATGTTTAATTTTATTTTTCTAGTATTAATAATGATCCAGGGTTTTATTCCTTCATTGTTGTTTAGAATGTGGTCCCTTTTTTTATTGGTTTATGAGAGGACTATGCAGATGTTATTTTTGTCTGGTGGATTTTGTCGTCTTTCTTTACAGATGCTAGGTGGTTGCATCAGAAGGATCATTCAATGATCTATTAACTATTGCATCCATTCTCTTATTTGTTCTTTAATGTCTAGGATGCTTGTGCAGATGATGCCTCTATGGTTGGAATTATTGTTGGCATTTTTGCAGATCCTTTTTTGTAGCTATAGTGGTTGTGGGGATGAACTTAACTGGCTGCCTTGTTGGATAAAACCACCTGCATGTTATCTATCTTACTTATGGTTTTATTGTTTGCTGTTTGGAGATAACCTAAACCACACCTAATCATATCCTTACTTGAGGTATTTCATTGCATCTACTGTTGTATTGGTTGTTTATTTGTCTTTTGTCCATTGGAACATGTACAAAAACATTTTTTTGGGAGATCTTCTACAAAGAAAAACGAACTAGCGTATACTTTTTGGAGTTCTAGTTTTGGGTATACTTGTAATTATTTTTGGAGATCATTTTCTGAGTTGAGTTGTACTTTAGGTGATGTAATTCCCTTACGAGTGTGTATTTTACATTTTGGATTTTAGTAGCAGGATCCATCAACCACACAATCTTGTACCTATTGCTTTGATGAAATAAAATTACCTCCGGGTTTCTTTTATGTGTGTGTGTGTGTGTGTGTGTGTGTGTGTGTGTGTGTGTGCGTTTGGATATTATGTGTGTGTGTGTGTGTATATTAAAAAATATCAACTAGGAGGAGGATTCCAAATGATTCTAATGAAAGATCCCATATAGAAACCAAAGCTAGCTCTCCTACGTGAGCAAACTCAAACTGGATAAATTATATGAGTTTGAGCTTTTAGAGAGATGAAAATAATTTAAACTCATCATCAATCATTAAAATTTAAGGAATTCTACTATTAAAATTTAAATATTTTACATCAATTAGTTAAATAATGGTAATTATTTATCTAAAATATTCGATGAACTTGCATCATAATTTATTTCAATGTAGTTGATAGTATATAAGGTCTCATTTGGTTACATGCCGTTAAAAAATATGCTTTGAAAAATAATAAAAGTTTACTAAATCATCCAATATCTTGATATACCTAAAGATTAATATTATTTAAGCAAAACATAATTTTCAAAAAAATTCTAAAAATTATGGTCATAGTTTTACATTTAAAATGTGTGCAAATATGAATTTATCCTTTTAAAAAATCATGTAATTTTAGGATGAGCATTCAAATAATCTAAAATTTTTTATCCTAAAACATTTTACTTTATTTTAAAAGAATATGCTTCCTTGTTTAGCACTTATATTTTCTATTTTTAAAACGAACCAAATAAATCTAGATGAGGTAAAAATATTAGGTATCGAAGAACTTGATGCATCGACTATTAATATTAGGGTGATATTAAAGTAAATAATATTTCAATATGACATAAAATTATGGTGGTTAATGTTTATTTTAAGCCGAGTTGTGGTCGACTCAAAATTGACTGGTAAAAAACTTGATCCAAATTTTTTACGTGTAGCTCTGCTTGTTTATTTCGATCCGATCTCGATCATGATCAGAGGCTAAATTAGAATTAATTTTTGAGTGATTTATAATTTTCAAGCTAAATTTATTAAATTCAAGGTCATAATATTATTAGAGCGGTTAATGATCTAATTTGAAGCTAAATTAGAATCAATTAAAAAATATTTGATCCAAAAATGGAATAAATTTTCGAACTATCAAGATGTTAAAGATATAAATTCACTGCCGTACTAAAAACCATCCGATATCACGGATCCGCACATGTGGATACCGCCTCCGAGGAAAATATTCATGAGAGTAATGGTACGCTGATTTTCCCTCCTCGCACCCAATGACTCCATTAAGCCGATCTCAGCTCATCGGCCTCTCGTCTTTTCCTCCTCCTTCAGTATTCCTTTCATTACATCTCCGATTCCAAGGTCCGCGAACACTCCTCTCAATCGCCGAACCCGCAAAATATCTCCTTTGCAGCTCCTACGCGGCTTCCCCTCAACTTTCTATCTCTCCCTCGAAGCAGCTTCGAGCTAGGGTTTCCCATGGCCGAGCAGATGAAAGGCTGGGCCGTAAGAAGGCATATGAGGAGGAAGAAGATGACTTTGAAGATTTGGGTGTGGAAGGGGAGGTCTTTCAGAAAACGCTGAGGCTGGTGGAGTGCTCTATGTTCGCTTCTGTTACGGGCCTTGCTTACTTTTTAAGCAATTCCCTTGCCATTGAGGTCAGTTGCTTGTTTTCTGAGTTTCTTTTTAAGTTCTCTTTTGGAAAATATGGATTATCCTCGATATACGATTCATCATGTGTCAAGTTGACACCCAACTAGAAATGGTATTCAGATGTCCGGGAGAGTTCACAACCGGATTAGGCTACAAGCACACTGCCAGAGAGAAATCAATCATACAACACTCTAGCTAGATAAGAATAAAGTCTATAAATGTCTCACTGCAAAAGATATCTTAATCAGTATCCTAATAAGTTAAATATGACCCCAAGGGGATCGCCCAACCCAACGGGGCTAAAGACGTTGAACTGATCCAACAAGTGGATATGGGCACTCTTGATTTTGGGTGTTTCGCTTTCACTGGATGGCTTCACGTCATGCTTCCTGTCAGAACAAATGCTTGCATCATTCTCCTCGAGTGGGAGGAGCATTGCCTTCTTTGTTGGAAACATCTAAGACCACATAAAATATCGTTGATATTGATGGTAACAGAAATATTGTAGTATCTAGACAACTCAATCTTGCATACATTTTCATTAATATTTTTGATAATCCTCAACGGGCCATGAACTCTTGGCTTAAGTATCCCGAAAGAACATGTAAGAAATCTCTTTTTCTTGAATTTGATCCATAGCAAGTCACATTCTTTGAAGACCTGAGCTTTTTTGGACTTATTTTTTTACTTCTGATATTTAATACTTGCTTAGAAAATTCCTTCCTCACCTTCTCATGTAGGATCTAAATTTCTTTGATCATGATCTCTACATCTATGCTAATTTCAGAAGTTGGTAGTATGAACTCGAACTCCAAAGCTGTGATAGGGTTCTGCTCGTAGACAATCTCAAAGGGACTATGTTCTACGGACTGACTAGTGAGTCAATTGTAGGCAAACTCAATTTGATGAAGCGCCAAATCTGATTGCCTGATACTTAAGGAAATTTTTTAAATTATTGTAATTTTAGAATTATGGATGATCCGAAGGTGGGGGCTAGGAATGATGATGATTTTGATTTTGACTTACCACATAATGTTATAGTCAATGTTGATGCTTTTGCTAAGATTATGACTAGAGTGACAGATGATTAGGAACTCTCAGCCTCAAACCAGTAGCAATGGAGGAGCACCGATGGATAAGTTTTTAAAGCTTTTTCAGGACATGAGGCTTCCTTTATTTTTTGGACTTGGAAAGCCACTGAAAGCTGAAAACCGGTTGTTGAGGGTAGAAAAAAACATTGATAAGATGACATGTTCACCAGAGAGGAGAGTTATCCTTGTCACATTTGCTTTTGAGGGAGAAGCTGAGAGGTGGTGGCAAGGACAGATGCATGAGAAGTTTGGAGATGAAACCAATCACATTGTGCAGTGAGATGAGTTCCTGAGTACCTTTAGTGTTTGTTTTGTATCACAGTAAGCTAGGAGACTGATGCAGGATCAATTTATTGGGCTGGTACAGAGAGATTGATCAGTTATGCAGTACGAAGATGAGTTTAGTATGCTGTCGAGTTATGCACCACAGTTTATTCTTATCGCAGAGGAGAAATGTCAGGTTTCTTAATAGACTGAAGGATTCAATCAGACAACCGCTAGTACCACTTGGGATTGAAGAATATTTAGTGTTCGTGGAGAGGGCTAGGCAACTGGAGATTGATTTTTAACAGATTCAGAAGCGTTATGACACACACAAGAGGAAGAGCTTGGAAGAAGTGTCACAAACAATTTATTCTCAAGAGTCTAACGAGAAGAAGATAAAGTTATATTATGATGAAGTTATCAGTCAAACTGGTAGCAACACTATAGATCCATGTACTAAATGTGGGAAGCAACATCGTGGTGAATGTCTATTTGGTTTGAAGGTATGTTATATTTGCATACAGCCTGGACATCAGATGAGAAATTACTCTAATTTTGCTCACAGATGCCCATTAGATGTTAACTCGAGAAGGGATTCTGCTCGGAGAAATTTTTAGGAGCGACTTCTAGAAGTGGCCAACAGAGAATGACAGAAGCTGGTACTATGACTCATCGGAAGCAGCCAAGGAACACTCAACCAAAAGACTTTTTCTTAAGTCACCAGGAACCTGAAGAATCGAAAAACCTGTTGTCCCTGATGCCGATGCATAGAGTTGGAGTGATTTGTCACTTTGGCGTTATGTTATCTTTCAGGTTAGTTGTCTACTGTTGAGTATTTTAATGTACTTTGATTTCAGAATTTAAGTATTGTGCTAGTTATGTTGTTATGATTCAGATATTTGGAGATTGTTCAACTAAATTATTTTATCTTAGATACTGGATTTATCAGATTTGCTTTTATTATCACTGTAAAAAAATAAACTTTCTTGATGATCAGTGTATAGTTCAGGTTCATACTACATAATATTTAGTTGGTGTAAATTCATGAATTTCGAAGATGAAATTTCATGAGGAGAGATTGTAATAGATAGTAAAAAAATAAAATAAAATAAATGTGCATATGTTAGTTGATTTCATGATTTATATATATAGTAAGTTTGCATTATTGATCAATAACTAGAGGTAAATGTTTCATAGAAGAAAATGCATGATATGGAAGAATGAAGTAACTTATATATGAATGTTTGTTTGTGCATGTTCAAAGGAAGAGTTCACCCCCTAATGGTACAGACAATGGATGCCAGTGTGCCTATGCACGTAGAGGCTTTTCTACTACCCCAGACAATTGTGATAGTTCACTAACCACTGTATCGACGAGATAATATCGATTAGAGATAAGTAAAATGAATTTAGCACTTCTTCAATTGTGATGTTTAGATCATTAATTGCTGTGTCGACAAGATAATATCGGATAGAGGCAAATAAGGACCTTTCCACCCAAGATAATTGTGATGTGTAGATCATTGATCGCTGTGCTGACGGGAGCCAATGGGCTAATATTGACAGAGGGTGTCTAAGTTGTTTTGACGGTGATCCTCAAAGCAGAAAAACATATATGTAAAGAGTATAAAGTAAATGTATATAGAAAAGCTGTGTATTTTCATTTAGAAAATATCATTGTTACATGCATTAACATGTATAAGATTTCTTATAGATATATGAAAAATCAGCATGTTTCAAAATTTTTTATAATTATATGAAGAACAGGCATGCATATCTATTACCTTTCTTTGAGTTACTGTAGTTTATAATTTGATTACTCATGAGTTATTTTTAGATAACTTATTATGTTGTTTTAACATTTTTCAGGCTTAAACTTTTGATTAAGATGAATAGAAGATGGGATAATGTGTACAAGAGCCGAGAACAACAAACGCATAATTCTATTTTTTAATTTAATTGTTTTTCTTAGTGGCTCTTTCATGAGTTTTTGAATATTTAATTATTAGCAATAGAAATTAAAAAAAAGAGAATTGATTTTCACCATCCAACTGTCTGTTTTCGTTTTGGTTAATTTTAAGTCTTGGGCCTGGTCATGACAAGAGATGCTATTTTATGACAAGATGGTTTCTTATAAGCTAAGAGTGATCAACACTGTTTTAGGGTTCTTAGAAGTGTTTAGAAAGTAGATCTAGCAGGGAGGCATTGTGGAATATGTGAGGTCAAAAACTTTTAGAAGGGAAAGAAAAGACGCTTGACAGCTGCCTGGACTAAAAACAGCGGAGGAATCATGAAAGGATGGCTCCTATGAGGCATAATTGCCAAGGGAGATCCACCACTATTTCTAGATAGCCTAGAGATACACCACTTGCAAAAGAAACAAATACAATACTCTATAGGGCATAAATTAGATAATATAATTTTCATATACAAAAAATATTGCGGAAGTTCCAAAAATAGGAAATAACAACATACAAATAGTTTCTTTTCAAAATAACCCTAATTTTAATTTAAAAATAAATTAAATAGGGCTCATAAGACTGACTATGCACGGTAGGCGAGAGAATTCTCCCTACAGAGCCTTACAGGATAGGAAATTTGTTCCCGTATTACGCCCAAGCAACGTGTCCGCAACTTCTGCTTCACGGAGTGCTCCCACGTCACTCTCCTCAAGTAAGAGGGGCTCCTTCTTGTATCTTAAAGCTTTTGGCTTCTCGAGTCAAATGACATATCCTCACTATCCGATGTCACTCCACATCTTTTACCAAGCTGGGTTTGTACAAGTTCTCGTTCACGAAGGAAAGAGTCTTGTTCCTACCAAAGTGTCGTGTCATCCTTCCATCTTGACGTTCTTAATCTACGGAACTGCTCATACTGTCTAGTACTCTCAGACCATATCTCGAGTGATCAAGTTTCTAACTTGCTTCTTCAACTTCTCACTCGGTTGGGTGCATCCAATGGAAGGCTTCGTTTGAAAAAAAACATATACTTGAATGAAATTTATGGCATGTTGGTCCTTTCTTGGTTGTGGCAACTTGTGAAGTAGGTTGCCATTCAAAACATCTTAAACCCTTTCAATGGGAGGCTACTATGTCTTGTATCAGCTCCGTAGACTCATTGCCTTCTATGACCATTAATACTGGTCTTATAGTTTGTAACTTGCTTCTTCTACTTCTCATACTCAGTTGGGTGCTTCTAGTGGACAGGTTCGTTTGAAATAACATACTCTAAAATGAAATTTATGGCATGTTGGACCTCTCTTGGTTTTGTCAACTTGTGAAGTAGATTGTCATTCATAACATCCTAAATTCATTTCAATGGGGAGCTACTTATGTCATGTATCAGCTCCTCAGATTCATCGTTAGGACCATTAATGCTGGTCTTACAGGTGTTTATCTCAAGGTTTGCAAAAAAAAAAAAAACTCTGTTTTGTTGTCCATCATCTTGGACTTCTTCCAATAGAAGAGTACAACACATGTCCTATTCTTGGTGAATACGTGTTCTTATAACCATTATGGGGTGTGCAACAATTATATTACTAAGTATGGCATAATAGAATATGACAAGCATCCATAAATACCACATCACACCATACATGCTTTCGAAATTTGTTTTTAATAAAGAACTCTACAATGCATATCCTCCAAAATGTGATCTTATTCTGTTTAGCCAAGATAGGTAATACGGTTGGGCAAGCTTTCATGTGGATAAGCTTCATTTAATGACCATTTGGGTAGACTCCACATTTTCACAATTATTTACGTTTATGATAAGACTGCATTTCTTTCTCTTTGCAGTGCAATGTGTTCAAAGATGTTGTAGAGGCTGTCTTGTGTGTTTTGTTTAAAGGATCCATCAAACCACTAATATCTCTCCCTCATTAGCTTGAAGTTGGTACTTTTTCTTCGTTTTCATCTTCTCTTATGTCAATCAATTTCTTTCATTGCTTTGTTGTCAATAAAATGAATCACTCTTATGTTTGGGCAATTAAACGCAACGTGTTCAAAATTATGGCACTTAAAAATACTTTTTAGTTGGAAAGGATCTAAGAGTCCTAACGCCCTCCACTTTTCTCCACTCTAGACTGATTTTTCTTCTTTATAAGTGTACTCCTGTTGTCTGTTCTTGGAATTGATATATCTGTAAGGTGTGGTGGCCTTTTGGTGACGATGTTTTTTCATCTTCAAAACTAGGTTTTGAATATATAAAAGAGACTAAAAATGTTGCATCTGCACTACTTACTAATAGATAGCTTCAACCCTTCAGATACTTCACCACTGTATGCTGTTATGATTCCAACAAAATTCATTATAACATGAGTTGATCAAATTCGGTTATGTAGTCCTCCATAGAATAATATCTTTGGTGCAGTTTGTGGAGTCTTAGGAACATATCTTGTTAGTAATAATAGGAAGCTATTTGCATTGTATCTCTTTTTAATTTTAGATTATGCGGTGATTTTATTCTTCTCTTCTGAATTTACTTCAGGTTCTCCCATCACAAAAAAACTTTCTTTCAAAATTTTATGACTGTCAACTTAACTCACTTGTCCTGGGGAACTCCTTTGTGCTAAAAAAATCATTCATTATTTGGAGCCGCTCAATGAATTTATTCAAATCTAAAAATCCGTCAAAATTTAGCAAGTCAATCTCAACTCCAAAATCACATCTCTCTTATACTCAATGTCGAACTGACGCGACATCAGTTCTGCATTGCTTGAAGCTTCATGGTGAAATGAATTTTCATCATATTCTCCTTATGGCTTGTCACTGTTGTTGTTGTGGATGATTTCCCCTTGTCGTCTCCTTTCAAAATCAATTAACCTTCGTTAAAATTGGAGAACTTCTTGTTGCATATCCTTCATGGTAAGCTCCTGAATACCTCGTTGAGAGCTTCTCCATGTCAGCATGGTAAATTTTATTTTCCAATTAAGGTTTTGGTTGAAATCAGAGATTGTAGTATAGGGTTGGGGTTAGGCAGATGGTGTGAGGGTAATTTTGGGTGCATGTTTTAGGTTAATTTATATGAATTTTTATTTTAGATATAGGGAAGTCAAATATTTAAAAATTTAGGGTTTGTCGGGCTCTAATACTAAATGACACTATTTTATGGTATTTAGATGGTTTTTTAGGAAAGGCATCTAAAGAGGAGTATTGTGGAATCATAAGGGAATAATAATATGCAAGTTCGATGACGTTTGGATAAGAATAGAAGATATTTGGCTGTTGTCCAGGCAGAGAACAATGCAAAGAACATGCAATGATGGCTCCTACGAGGTATAACAACTTAGGAAGACCCGTCACCTGTTTCTGAACAAGCTACAACACACCACTTTCAAAAGAAAAATAATACAACTCAGGATAAAAATCAGAGAGTACATTCTCCAAATACATTAAAACAAAACAAAAGTCTTAAAAAACAGAAATAATAACATATAAATAACTATTTCAAAAGAACCCTAAGTCTAATTCAAAAATAAATAAACTATCCTTGGTAGCTGAGAGAATTCTCGCTACAAAGTCTTACAAGACGGGAAATCCCGTTCACACATTCCACTCAATTGACGTGTCTGCGGCTTCCATGTCATGGGACACTGTCATGTTGGTGATATTTGAGTATTTGTGTTGACATTCTATTGTCTCCTCATTTTCCATAAGAAATTTGATTCTACCAGCAGGAGTGATTGCCAACCCAAATTTTCTAACAATATTGCATTACAAAATTTTGTATATTCCTTCCATCAATCAAAATATAACCGGTTTAGCTTAGATTCCTTTCCAACTTCAAGATATTTAGCTTTTATTGCCCTACCAACACTGGAACTGTGAGGCATGCCACCCATGTTTTAAATGTTTCTATATTAGCATCAATGGTTGTCACCCAATCTTCTCCTAGTTTTTCCAACTTGCCTTTGTCCTCCTTAATAATCAAGGTGAACATTTTGCCCTTGCTCACAGATTTTCGTTGAAACTTCTCTCCATCATTTCATCTATAGTTAACCTTTTGATTGGTATCAATTAGTTCTATTTGAAAATGAGTTGTGCTTGGTTGGGGTTGGTAACAAGGAGGGGTATGATTTTGAAGCGATAATGGTAAGTTACCTCGGCCGCCAATTCAATTTTTTGGAGCTAGTGCTTGGCTAGTTCAATTGCATGATCCAACAACCCAGGTCAGATATGAACCTCCTTGAAAATGTTAGTGGTTAAACTAGATTCAGAATAGCCTTGCAAGCACAGTTCATCCTATCTGATAACTTGATTGGATACTGCACAAATTGTAGTTGATATTTGACAATGTTTTGTTGTCTGCTTTTTCCTTGCTAGCTTTTCAATGAGGTCCCTTTGTTTGATGGTTTGAATCATGTGCATAGAGTATTTATGAATCCTTCCCATGTTATCAGCAACGTTGTTGTGGACATTACCAGTTCTCCACCAGTTCATCTCTATGGAATGATGTGAGCGTTACTTTGTCCTCATTGGTGAGGCTATAGAGCATGAGAATTGCTCAATTTTACTTATCCAGGTTTCTAGATTTTCTAGCATATCAAATGGCTCAGAGTCATACTACCTTGTGATTTTCACTCATTATTCTTACTTTGGTTTCCCGTTGAACAGTTGAGTCTTCCTGAACTGTCACTGCCTTTAGGTGTCTTGGTCATACCTAACTTTGAAGAGTTAGTCTCAAATTGATTTCCCTCAGAACTTCTGTGGGGGCCAATTATTCTCCTACGTCTTTAAGATGCTCTATCATCATGATTGTTTTGGTTTTTTCCACCATTTGAGCAAGGTAATGCTATTGTCTCTTTGTTAAATCTTAACGAAAGCACCAATATTAGGATGCTAGCTCATGCAATATCAAGCTTTCTAGCAACTTTAGGGAGGAGACGATGAGGGAAGAATAAGTTGTAAAGTAAGAGGAATGTGATTTTATTTTTATTAGCATCTCTCTTACTCCATAGTGCTACCACCTTGATCATTTGCTCCACTTAATGAAATACTAGTAATAATAGTGTCGGGTTTGCATCAAAGCTACTTCTAGTTGGATGGCATGCTATTGCGGACTAATGACATAATTATCACGAATATTCTAAATGGAGGGCACACAACTGCATTTGGAATGGTGCGACTTGATAGTCTATATGATTGTTTCTTTTCACCAAATAAGCTAGGCCCAACAAAGCTGCTGTAGAGGAGAGCAACTGTATTTCTGTCCCTTAACCGGTTTAGTTTTCAAGCCATGAAAGTTTTAAACTATGAACTCACGAGTTGCTGTACCTCAATTTTGCGAGCTCGGTGATTTTTTTTTCATCTATCTATTACATTTAATATTGCTTCATAAGCTAGGTAAATAAACATTTACGTGTCCTGTTGTTCTATAAATAACACATATCATCTTAAACTAACTAGCATGGGTCAGCAATATTCCCTCAACAGATGATTTATCTTCTTTATAACTTAACTGCTTGCCCTTTGCTAATTTCTAATTTATTTCATTTGTTCGTAATCAAAATTCGCTGTTTGTATATGAAATTTCTAAACTCCTTGCTACTATTTTTTGTTTATTGCTGATGTTTTAAGCGGTACTTTCGGTTATGCTCAGTCTAGTTTTATTTTTTAAATACAGTAAACATTTTTTGCCATCTAAATGAAATTTATTCTCGCAGAACTATTTAGGCTGTTTCTTCTCATTACCTATAGTGATCTCCTCTATGAGATGGGGACTGGCTGCTGGCAGGAAAACAATGGTATGTATATATCTGGAATCTATAATTTAAGTCAGACTTGATATATAATGCCATTTTTTGAAAAAAAAAAACATTTTTAACACTATTCAAGGTTGCCACAGCCATGCTCCTCTTTATCTTATCTGGACCTGTCAAATCATCTACTTATCTGGTGAGTGACTCATTTCTATGTATTGTAGATACTTTAGCCTTGAGTTTTAAATTATTTATATCTGGTTATTGCATCATAAAAATTCATTTGAAATAACTATATACATATATATATATATATATATATATTTTTTGAAAAGATAGTTTTGCGTGCTAGAAGATTCGCGATTTATAGAGTCCCGATTGTAATTAATGAAGGGAAACGAACAACTTTGATCGGACGAATTGGATAGCAAGCTGGTTGTGAAGAAAGGCGTAGACAAGAAATCGAAGGGAGGAACAAAAGGGAAGGGCGTAAAGTATCCCAACAAGCCTAAGCGCCCGCCGAGCGCCTTCTTTGTCTTCATGGAGCAGTTCAGGAAGGAGTTCAAGGAGAAGAACCCTAACAACAAGCAGGTGTTTGTGGTTGGAAAAGTTGGAGGCGATAAGTGGAAATCGTTGTCTAATTCTGAGAAAGCTCCTTACGTTGCTAAGGCCGAAAAGCTGAAAGCGGAGTATCAGAAAAAGCTGAAGGCTTATAATGCTGGGGAGGAGACAAAGAAAGATTTGGCTCACGAGGAGTCTTCTGATAAGTCAAAGTTCGAAGTTAGCGATGAAGAAGAAGTGAGGAGGATGAAGGTGAAGAGGATGATGATTGAACTAAAAGGTTTATAATCAATAACAAGAAATTAACGGAGATGGTGGCATTCTTCGTCTGTTGGTAATCTTTTGGCACTCAAAGTGGCCACTATCGATGCGTTGGTTCAGGGCTTCACATGAACACATGCTGTTTCTTGTTTTACCTTATTTTCCTTTTTCTTCCCCGTGAGCTAGGTGATAGTATATGATTCTCTGTTTGTTTTAAGAAGCTCTTCTTAATTCCTTGTGTCTAACGCTAAACTCTCTTTTTGTTATTAGTAGAAGTGGTTTCCTTTTATTCTTACTAATATATATATATATATATTGAAAAACTCAAAAGCGAATATATTAATATAAGAAAAGGTACAGGTATGTTGGATATAAGGGCCCAAATTAGCACCCTAACCACCCGACGTACAACACACATAGGAAATACATGTATACAAAAAAAAACCAAGATTAAAATATAGACATAGAAATTGTACGCCAATAGTCTGCCAACACTTGCAGATTCAGTTAGCTTGCGAATGATCCAATTTAGCCTTGCCTTTGCCTCTGGTTCTGGAACGGGAGCCAGCTAACAATATGCTAAGTTTGTTGCCATTACCCGAAACAACCAATGTGTTATCCATCAAGTTTGGTAATAACCCTCCATTCTTCTTCTTCTTCCTGGATGTATAAACCTGTCATTTCTCATCCGAAGATCGACTTATTTTATCAGTGGATTGGTCTGAAGATTGCTAGAAAAGTTTAGGCTGTTGCACATCATGAGCCCCATGTGCCCGACTAACTGTAACAACTTACTTGATCTGATGAGGCAGTAGAAACATGTTAGAAATATTGCCATCGGTTACATCAATGATAAGTTCTAGGGCGGGTGAAGTATGAAATATCTCCCCTGCCCTCGTGAAAAGAGGTTCCATAGGAGGAGATAGGGGACCTACATCATGAGCATTGTGTGGAGGCCGAATGGTTGACATATTACCTGCGAGGATAGTGACATCTTCAAGAGTATCCTTCTAATGATCAATAGTGTCAATAACTTGGAGCAGATTAGGAGAAGGGGGTATCACTGCCTCTGGCTGAACACTTTGCTTTTTTTGTCTTAAATGGGGGTGTAGATGACAACATTGAGAAATGGAGTGGTCGAACATACGACAATTTGAGCAATACGAAGGGAAGACTCAATTACAACCCTTTGCCAATATCCATGGTGTTGTGAGTCTAACCAAATTTCCTCAGAAGTGATTAAAGTGATGTCCCTTTCAACAAAAACCCTAATTTCAGAGGGAGGTGAAAGATTAAAAGTAGGAATGTTCGTTTTGAGGGGCTTACTATAGGCTGAGGCAATAGAGTACAACACTTCTTGAGTAAAATAATGAAATTTCATAGAGATGGGAATCCAGACCTGAATGATTGGTGGTTCCGTCTATGGGCCAAAATTCATCGATCATTTCAAAATCTTTACTGCTCTGTTATCAAACCAGATTAATTTTATAGCAAATAAGCGTGTGTAATCCTCTTCATTATTAAGTTGAATAAGGATGTGCCTTTCTTCTTAAAATCTAATTTTTCACTTCCCAACTAGGTGCATAAGCTCAAATTTCTTACGAATAAGCTCTATTTTGGGATGATCATTAAGGAATTTCCCTATCAAATTCAGACGACAGGAGGAAACTAGCTGATTACATTCTGCTTCCGTAAAAAAGATGGCTGACTTCCCATTTTTCCTATCAGATTTCTTGATGTCCTCCACCAACGCAAACGAAGGAGGGAAGAAACACGATTTAGGAGTACTTGAGGCGTGGACACCCGCATGGGCAGCAACATACGTTTAGTTCGAAGCCATCACCAATCGAAGGAGGCGCAGGGTTAGGAACAGTGAAGTTGTACTGAAAGAAAGAGCAAAAGCCGGAGGATCAGCGAAAGCCCCCCTTCAAAGTTGAGCAGAGGACGTAAGGTGCAAACGTCTTTCAACGAGCAGCCGAAACAAAAAGGTGCGGATCTTTCTGCTTCGAGCACAAGGAAGGGCGAGACGAGTCTGTGCCCAAAAATCGTCCTTCAAATGGCGACGAAAGACGACACGGCGAGGCAGACGCAACACAACTAAGCGCTATGAAACAAACGAGCAGGAGGACGGAAGACGAAACAGAGGAATTCAAGGCGCGAAACTTTCAAGCGTGACGATGCGAGCAATCACTGTAACAGACGCAAGGGTTCGCCATGATTCGAAACCTTAGCATAGCCTCCAGCTCCTGCCCGCCGACGCCATCATATATTGAAATAACTATATATATATATATATGTATATATATATATATATATATATATATATAGATATAGATATAGATATAGATATATGCGCTCCACCGGTGGCTTGTTGGATGACAACTTCTGTGTAAGTCACCTATCCCTGGTTTGAATCCATCGCGATCGAATTAGCACATATGGGCTGGACATGCACATCTATATATATATATATATAGTTATATATAGTTATATATATATGTATTCTTATCAGCTCTTTATCAATCAAACTAAATAATTTGACAGTTCATTGTTGTTAAAAGAGCTGTTAGTGCACACCTACAAACAATTTGTGAGGGAAGTGAAGCAACGTGAATATAAGTTCTTTGTTTCACTTATATTTTATTGCTCTGCTATTTCATGGTTTCTACATAAATTTTTTGTATGGCTCTTAAATGTGGGTAGTTTTATTTCCGTGCAAGAATTGATTTATATTTTAGGCTTATTTCTTTTTTCCTCATATAAAAGGCGTGCCATTGCTCATTTCTATGTTAAACGTCTATGCTTCAGTATTCTTTTGGCACTTTATTGCTAACTCTGTAGAGTTCTGATGTTATTTTTATTCACATCCCATTTATCATCAGGTGCTCATCTATTGATATTCACGATCATCTTACTTAATTTAGCTTGGTATCATAGCTTAATTTTCATAAGCTCTTAATTTACTTTAGTGAGATATGTTTTTGGACGTATAGAATCCTCGTAGGACATTGGTGCGAATGGATACAGTTTAACCTAGTTTTTATTGGTAAGAAATTCGAAATTGTATGCTTTTCATTTGTATAAAATGCCCGCATTATAACAGGTAATCCTCCATGAATGGTGCTGCTGTTTCAGTTCCTCAGACTCAAGAATGGTGTGTTGCTGCCTAAATGCCTTTTTCATTCTCGTGTGATGCATGTAAGATAAGCACAGTGGTGCAGCCTGGTGGCACCTTTGCTTAAGTGAAAAGTCCCTCTAACAAGCACCATTTTTTTATCCTTCTTTTGGATTGAATAATTAATGCTATCTATGTTAGATGGTTCTGTGATAATCTACATTATCTTCAATATTATTTTATTTACCTTTTAAAAAGTCATTGGAGTTTCTTCTCTGTCCTGGTAGAGAGCTATATCTATGTTTGTCATTATCCTCACCTTGTTTAGATTGTGTTGAGTTAAAAAACCATTACGGGGTTGTTGAAGTTAAAAGATTAATAAAAATAATTAATATTATTAATTAAATTTATTTAAATTTAATTAATATTAGGAGACTCTCCTGCTCTCATCTCATTAACTGTTCTAGTGAGCCATCTGATTTGAAGTAAAAAGGGACAATAGTCCTGTAACTGCCCATGACCACTCATTTTGCATGAAACACTGTCGTTCTTCCCTTGTTGTTCCAATCCCTCTTGTTTTCTTTCCCTGTTCGAAAACTTAGCCTCCGCACAAAAAAAAAAAGAAGGAAAGTTGCTTCTTCATTTTTGTTGTTGTCTTTCTCCGTTCACGCAAGAATCTTCTTCATTCGTTTTATGTTGCAACAAATCGTGGAGACACTTCGTCTCTCTTGTTCTTCTCTTTCTTTTAATCAATTTGTCACGTACGAAATCTACACAACAAAACTACAAGCCGCATACTTGTACTTCCTCGTCATTCTTCTTCCTCACCAAGCCCTAATTCTGAATTTCTCTATCGCTCCTTCCTAGCCAACAAACAATCTTTCCGTCCCTACCTTTCTCATATTCTGTTCACGCGAACCAAACACCAAAAGCCTTCGTGTGATCTCACTCCTTTGCACAGTTCTGCTCACTCTGAACAGAATCTTTGCCTCAATTCCCTATACCACGAAGTTACTGCCCAAGCCTCGCACTTCCCTCGCCGATAGTGTACTTCCCGACACTTTCCTAGCGTGACTTGTACGTTGCCTTCATCTCCTTCTCACTTCTGTCTAAACCTAGCTGAGTTGTCACTTGCCTTTTGTTTTGATCCCTAGTGCCCTACCGAGCCCAATCTCGATCAACACACCAATCCAAGCCTAAAACCCAAGCTTCCTTCTTGTTAAACCAATCCCACTATAAAATTCTAACATGACTAGTATTACAGGCCTACCCGATTACCCCTACCCGAGCCAGTTTATTATTTGTTTTATTTTCTTATTTTTAATATTTTGTATTGTTGCAATAAAAGTTTTTGTGTTGTAGTTTATTGTATTCTGTCGTCTCGTTGTCCTCATCAAAAACATCGAAGCTCGAATTATTATAAATTTGGGGCAAGGAAATTTTTTGAAAACCTCCATTCGATGAGAGCATTATTTTTAAAAGCGTGGAGCTCTCTGTTTGCAATCTAACATTTTCTGCAGCTGCAATGAAGGCTCGTCGCATTTTTTGAGATCACGAGTCAAATGTTCAATTTTGCTCTCACGTTGCATCTTTCAAGACCGTAAGTTGAATACTCTGTTTTTGCTCCTCAGCCGTAATGTTTTACGACACTGACTAGTGATCCTTCTGAGATAGTTGGGAAGGTTGACACTCTCCCGTGCCCCTAGCGGGGGTTGACATTGGGAGGCTATCAAAATGAGGACGTTAAATTGTAACTTAACACATTCTGTAGGTATATTGAAGACCCATCACATCTTTTGAGACCGCGGGTTAAATATTCTTTTTGTTCTCTGATCGTAGTGTCTTACGACTTTGACCAACAATTCTTTTGAGATAACTGAAAAAGTTGACACTCTCCCGTGCCCCCCTAACGAGAGTTAACGTCTGGATGCTGCCAACATTTCAGGTGATTTGAGCTTGTAATTAATTTAAAATTTTTAAATATTTGAGCTTATAAAATAACATAAAATTTGACTCATTTTAATCTTAAAATGATTGGGAAATTCGAGCTTTTAAAATTTAGGCTCTTAAGATTTTAAATCGAGGACTCTAGCTTTTAAATATTTAGGCTTTTTAGATTTTAAAAATTTTAAAGCTCTGGATTTTTAAAATGTAAGTATTCAGGGCTTAGAAATTGTAAATTTGGATTTTAAATTTAAAGTTCATGAACTTGAAAATATTTTAAAAATTGAGGTCTTCGGAGTCAGGGTCCTAGAGTTTGAAAATTAATTCAAGAGTTTTTTGGATTTAGGAAAAATAATTCAAATATGAAACCTTTTGAAATTTTAAAATCTCACCACTAGATTCACAACATGCTTGTTAGTCAACAGAGGCGATTTTTCAGAAATCCAAAGTGAATATATTTATGTATCAATGTATATGTATTCAAATGAGACAAATTTGTGTAATTTTTTGTTTTAAAGATGTCATTTAAAACAATTGTTGATTTAATCCATGTTTTAAATCATATAAATTTTCTTAAGATACCAAATGTTTCTATTGAAATACATCAAACACATGATATTAAATGTTCGCATGTGCTCCGACCAATGTGCTAAATGTTTGATCTCATGATCTTAGAATGTTGCATGGGTTAAATATATACTTAAGCTCAAATTTAATCTGCCCTAAAATGAATGCAAAGTTATTTGAAAATCAACCTGAACCAACAAATTACATGCCCACATGTGTTCTAACTAATGTATTGGATACTTAAATACTAGGTTAGAGAATGCTGCACGGGCTAATCGGGTCATTTTGTCTTAGGATAGGGTTGTAATTCCCATCTCACTAGTTCGATCATCCTCAAAAGGACAGAAGTTGACCAGTCTAATAAGCCCTGTTAAATATCCAAATCCTGAAATAAGAATTTATAAGTCTAAGTCACCAAACTAATTTGATTCTCCTCCTTCTAAGGACAAAAGTCGACATGACTTATTTCCGAAAAGTTTAAACTAATAAAATTAAATGCCTCCTTCAAATATAAAAGTTTAAATGCTTAATACCTCGATGATGACCGTGTTGATTGAAGATCTCAACCAAAGGGGTTAACCTTTTAAATCAAGTTTTCAAAAAATAAATTATGCGCTCAAGTAAAATAAATCACAACAACAACAACAACAAAGCCTTAATCTCACTACGTGGGATCGGCTGCATGAATCAATTTTCTCCATTGTGTCCTATATAGTGTCATATTTTCATTTAGTTCTAATAAATTAAGATCATTTTTTTACAATAAGCTGAAGTCTTCCTAGGTCTACCTCTACCTTTCTTAACATAAGTCGAATCAAAAACATCTACTCTCCTAATCAGATCATCAGATGGTCGACGCTTAATGTGACCAAACCATCTAAGACGACTTTCTCTAATTTTGTCCATCACAGAAGCTACACCAAACCTTCACGGACCTATTCATTTCGCCTTGTCTCTAAGTGTAAAGCCACTCATCAACCTAATCATTCTCATCTTGGCAATACGTAACTTAGTAAAATGCTTCTCTTTTAAAGGCCAACATTCAGCGCCATAGAGCATTGCACGTCTCACCACCGTCTTATTAAATTTTCTTTTCAGTCTAAGCGATACTTTTCTATCACACAAAAGTTCTGAAACATTCCTCCACTTCAACCAACCAACTTAAATTCTATTATTAACATCCCCATCTTTATCACCATCGCTTTGAACAACAGACCCGATCTATCTAAATCGTTCACACCTTTTAATAATTTGATCACCCAAAGTTACACTTCTGTCACTAGAGCTACTACTACTAAAATTACTTTCCATGTATTCAGTTTTAGTTCTACTCAAATGAAGTCCTTTAGACTCCAATGTAGACCTCCATAATTCAAGTTTTTCCTGAGTTTTTTCTCTCTTCTTATCCACGAGAAGGATATCATCAGCAAAAATCATACACTAAAGTACATCCTCATGTAAATTTCCAGTAAGACCATCCATAACTAAAGCAAAAAGATATGGGTTTAACGCCGATCCCTGATGTAATCCAACAGAAATAGGAAAATATTTGGTCAATCCTCCTTCAGTTTGAACATAAGAGCTCTACTATACATATCTTTAATGACTTGAATATGTCATATCAACACCTTTCTTCTCAAGAACTCTCCAAAGGATATCTCTTGGTACCTTATTATAAGCTTTTTCTAAATCAATAAAAATCAAATGTAGATTCACCTTATTATCTTTGAACTTCTCCATAAAACCTCACAATAAATGTATAGCTTCCATAATAGACCTGCCCAAAATAAATCCAAATTGATTATGAGAATTATTTATAATGCATCTTAACCTATGTTCTATTACCCTCTCCCATAATCTTAAAGTATGACACATCAACTTAATTCCTCTATAATTTGCACACTCTTGTGCATCCCCTTTATTCTTAAAAATAGGGACCAAATTACTCCTCATCCACTCCTCAGACATCTTTTTAGTTTTTAAATAATATTAAAGAGTTTAGTAAGCCAATAAACTCCTAAATCTCCTAAATATACTTCAATTGGGATACCATCAGGTCCTACAGACTTTCCACCCTTGGTTTTTCTTAAAGTCTCCTCAACTTTTTTTTTACTAATGCGATGGTAAAAATGAAACTTTTTATTATTATTATTAACCATATTAAAATCACTAAAGTCGATTGTATTTTCAGAAATTTTATTAAAAAGTTTATCAAAATAACACCCACCTATGTTGAATATCTTTTTCTACGAAAACACTTTTTAATTTTCTTCTTTAATACACTTTACTTGAGTTAAATCTTTACTCTTCTTTTTTCTTTGTTTTGATTGTATTTTCAAAAGCTTCATTAAAAAGTTTATCAAAATAATTCTCCTACTCATGTTGAATATCTTTTTCTAAGAAAAATATTTTTTAATTTTCATATTTAATACACTTTACTTGAGTTAAACATTTACTTTTCTTTTCTCTTTGTTTGATTATTTTATACATATATTTTTCACCATTCTTAGTATCTAATCTATTGTAAA